GGAAGGCAGTGGCGGCGACGGCGACCTCGTTCAAGAGACCGACCGCGAAGCCAGCAGCAGAGACAGGGTTCAGAAAGCCGTCCAAGACAACAAAGAAGTCCAGCCAACGGCCTGGAAAGTGGCCGGCGAAGGCAAGGTGGTTCAGGCTGAGCTGGATCAGACGGCAGTGTAGCAACCGCAGGACCAGAGGAGGCAGAACCAGATGAGGCAGGACCAGATGAGGCAGGACCAGACGAGGCAGGACCAGGCGTGGCAACTGCAGGTGGTGGCACTGCAGTGGAGTTGAAACAGTTGCTAGAATCGCTGCAGGCACGGTGTGGAAACCACAGGTGGGGACACAGGAGGTGGCTGATTGGACTCAGAGCCGTCAGCGGACACAAGGTTCTGAAGCAATTTCTCTGACCCTTCAGCAATGACGGAGGGCTGAAGCGGCTCCTCAGGCCCCTCAGAGATGACAGATGGCTGAAGCGGCTCTTCAGGCCCTCCAGCGGAGACAGGCTGCTGAACAGGTCACTCAGACACACCATCAGAGGCTGACACAGAACCAGCAGGCCCGGAGATCTCTGGCAGAGATGGATCAGAACCAGCAGGCGCAGAGACCTCTGGTGGGCACAAAACAGCACCAGCAGGTTCGGGGACTCTGACAATGTTGATGTTGGGTGGAGCTGAGCAGCACATTGGCTTCGCTCAGGCAGCGGCAGCAGGGAATAATCCTCGACTAGATTACTCCCTGCTGCCAGAGTCAGCTTAAGGCTGAGACTTAATCTTTGGGGAAGCCCTGGAGAGAGTGACTAATTCTAAGGGACTCAGCTTTTGAGGGAACTTAACAGTTTTAATGGGTTTGTCGCTCTGCTTAGAATGAGTGGTTAAAAAAAAACAGTCCTTTACAGATGGTGTAACTACAGCTTCCTGTACGGAAGGAGCAGGTGAAGGTGGTGGTTGATTTAAAGACCAGGAGACTGCACTGAGGGCGACTGAACAGGAGACTGAGCGGATGTGGAGCAGTACTCATAGAAATAGTCCCCGGCTCAGGAGGAGCAGAATAAACACAGTCTCTTAACTGGAACTCAGCCTCAGGAAAAACAGTTTTGGCTGTTTTTCCTCATCCGAGGGATTTACTCCAGTCTTAGGAAAAGAAACACAAAATGAGATTTTTAGCTCCTCAACTCTAGCATCTGCGTGAAAATCAGTCCCTCAATCCTCTGAGCTGGAGTCTGTGGAACCAGATATTTCAGTGTTTGTGTTTCCAAGCTCAGAGAGTGAACAGAGAGAGTGTTTCTCACTCACCACAACCGATGACTCAGAAGTTCTGTGGCTGAGGGGTGAAGCGCTGGCGGCGCGTACGTCGCTTTCTCCTGGAGACGGGAGCAGAAAGTGTAGAGGAGACCGGTAACCTACTACTGCTACTTCGCGGTGAGCTCCTTCCGCTGCTGGCAGCTGCAGCTTCGGCGTGGAGTACTGGGAGCGAGCAAAGGCTGCTAGCTCCCAAGCTTGAAAAACCTCATCCAACGAGCCCATAAATCCCCTGAGTTGGCGGGAATGTGGATTCCTCTCGAGGATCGCTTCGATAACGTTTATCCCTATTGCCATCGCCTTAATATTCTCTGTATTGGAAATCCACTTTACCAAGCCCATGATGCGGGTGAGATCGCTCTCCCGGGACGAGCCCACTAGGTCCAGGTTATGGTCGCATTGTTCTGTCATGGCTGTGTGCAGGCAGGCAGGGAAAAGGACCCAAAATGCAGGACTCACGGAGGCAAGATGAACTCAAAATGCACAGCTTTATTGCGAGTTGCAGACTGGAAAGAAAACTAGCTATACTGGAGAGAAATATGACACGTAAACTTGAAAGAGACTAAGGAGACAGAACATAGAGACCTGAAATGTGGGACAGAAACCAAAACACAAACAGTCATAATCCATGATAAAATCAAAAGTAAAAGTACGAAACTCAAAACACTGGGTCACCGACCCAGGACCGTGACATCATATCCAGCAAATTTATCCAGATACCACTACATGACCCCACTGGCAGTCTGTATCTCCCCTGTATTGTATACTTATATAAATAATTGGTTGACATCAGGGGTAAACTTTAAATCCTATTTCCATTTCTGTGATGGAATACAGATTCTTGTATTGATCAAAGAGAAAATTTCACAAATATATGTATAACTTCTGCTCTAATGTTTTTGTTGGTCTTCTCTTCCAATTTCATCTTGTATCTGTTCTGGGTTCTGGGAACCACTGTTCTGGGTTTTGGACCAAGGATTTTGTATTTTTGGACTCCCAATTTCTGTTTATGCTGAATTATGTTCAGTTTGAGTCTAACTTAGTTTAGCTCTAGTTTAGCTTTTCTCTTTTGTCTTTTCCATTGTATTTATCCTGTGTGGTTGACTTTACAGCTGCTTGCAGTTGTTTAGTTTGTCTTACCTTTAATTTGTAATTAATTTGAGTTCTTAGTTCCTGGTTTTGTCTTTAAAGCAAAAGTGTTGGGAAAGCGCTGCAAAAACCACCCTTCAGTCTTGCATGCTGTGACCGTTAGATCTTTTGTGTGGTACTTGCTTTTCGTGCCAAAACACAAGAAGGTGTAATAGATTTTTTCCATTGTTTGCTTCTTGTTTTGATCATTTTCTGTTCTAAACTGAAAAGAAATTAGATGGTAGTTTTCAGGTAAATGATCATGATACTCCCATTACCTGTTTCTGCAGGTTTTCTGCTTAAAAAAAGAAGTTAAGAACTGTCAGTCTCAAGACTGACTCAACAAAGACCAATGGCAAGAAGGTTATAAGAAATTTAATAAGCAGAAACTAAATCAGTGTTCTGTGGCCTGATATTTTAGGCCACAGAACACACTTTATTTTAGATCTTTGCAAATTCTAAGATGGATTCTCTAAAAAGAAGCAATTTCCCAGTGTGTTCATCTGGCCTGCTAAACAACTGTCATATAATTCCAATGTTGTATACCAAGGTACAACATTTTACTCTGGTCATACAAACAAACAAATTATTTTGGTCATATGCCCTTTTTTTGTCTCTTTATTTGAGCATGGAAAACTGAATATTTTGTCAGCTTTTGTGTTAGAATGCCAGGTAGTACATGTAAAGTACAAATAAGCTTTTAATTTTTTCAAATTTCTTACAACTGATGATCTATTTGTAACTGGGTGGATTCTAAGTGAAGTGTTATTTTAAATTGGCTGCAGGTATGAATGGTAGCTTGAGTGGTTGTCTGTCTCTATGTTAGCCCTTTGATTACCAGGAAACTGGCTTTCCAGGTTTTCATTGTTTGTCTTTTGCATTCTTGTCATTGCTGTCATGGTCCTGGCTGTGACCCAGTGTTTTGTGTTTGATTTATACTTCTTGGTTATTCTTAAAGAAGCTTGGAGTTTCTGTACCTTA